GTGGAGCGATGGAGCTGTTGGGGACTATAGACACACAGAGGGAGAGGGGCTGTGTGCTGATGACCGGGGAGCATGCTTGTAGTGTATACCCTTTGGATGGTTGATGATGCATGGAGGGGATTGTAACCATAGCAATGAAGTGATATACTATAGGATGAATGTTAGCGTAGTAGTTACGAATCGGGCTGCGAGCCGCAAGGTCAGCAGTTCGAAACTACCAGTTGTTCCGCGGGAGAAAGATGAGGCGTTCTGCTCCCATAAAGATTTACAGCCTCGGAAACCCTGCACAGGGTCGCTATGAGTCGGAACCGACTCCACGGCAAACAACAATAACAGCAACAGGATGAATGTAAAACTAATGTTCTCCCATGTAAACTGTCACATAATTCACAATAAAACATTAAGAAAAAAAAAAGTGGTTCTTTGTAAAACTCAACATAATTAAAACAAGAGAGGATTCAAACAAATTATTATAATCAGAAACAAAAGAGGGGACATTGCTACTGACCGTACAGAAATAGTGCGAGTGTGATGACTCTATAAGATAAGCATTGGACTGCAAACCACAAAGCCTGTGATTCGAACCCGCTGGCTGCTTCATGGGGAAAAGATGAGGATTTGTGCTCCCTTAAAGATAAAAGCCTTGGAAACCCTATACAGGGTTGTTAGGAGTTGGAACAGACTTGATAGCACTTAACAACAACAATACAAAAATAAAATAGATTAAAATACTATGAATAATTAGTGTCCTGGTTTGGCACTGTAGGATAAGCACTAGACTGTTAACCACAAGGTTAGTGGTTCAAACCCTCCAGCCACTCCTTGGAGATCCTTTACAGGGTTGCTATGAGTCAGAACCGACTCTGTGGTACTTAACAAAAACAACAAAATGAACAATTATCTGCCAACAAATTAAATAATTAAATGGACAAATTTCAACAAAGATGCAATCTACCAATAACTCAAGAAGAAATGGAATATATTTGAACTTATTTATAACAAATAAAGAGAATTAGTAATCAGATTTCCCAGAGAAAATCCCAGGACAAGAGGGCTACACTAGTGAATGTTAAAATATCATAAACACCAATCTTTCACAAACTTCCACCGGACAGAAAGTGTGGAAGCACTTCCCAGTTTATGAGTATTAATTACACTGATAGTAAAGGCAGACAGAGACATCAAACTCCCCCCACCCCCAAAAAAAAACCAACAACTGTAGACCATTGTATTTTGTGAATGTAGAGGTATGAGTCCTCAACAAAATACTAATAAACTGAATCTAACAACATGTGAAAAAGATTTATGTGTACTATGACCACATGAGATTTCACCTATGAATTCAAGGTTGTTCAGCATATGAAAATTCATCAAAAGTATCAATGTAGTACATAAAATTCTTTAATATATCATGAATAGAATAAAAGATAATGCCACATGATTATCTCATCAGTTGCAGAAGATGTATTTGACATAAATACCTTTCATGTTAAAAAGACTCAATAAATTAGAAATAGAAGGCATCTTCCTTAAAATGATAAATGATATCTCTGAAAAATCCACTGGTAACATTATACTTCATCTTGAAAGGCTGAATTCTTTCTGTTATGGGTTGACTTGTGTCCTCCCAAAGTATAATGTGTTATAAATCATACACCTTATATCTGTGGGCAGTTCAAACCCACCAACTGCTCCTAGGAAACCCTAACAACAGCAACAATATCTGTGGATATGATCCACTTTGGGAATGTGGCTTTCTTTGTTATGCTATGAGCATATTATTATTGTGTGTATGCTTTTGAGATATGAAAGAACCGATTAGGCCCAGGAGAAAGCAGACAAGTAGAAGAGAGAAACTTTTTGAAGATGATGGAGACAGACCAGTCTCCAAAGCCTAGGAGCTCCAAGGAGCTTAAAGTGCCAACCTTGTGGTTCAAACAGATTTTACAGTGGGCTGGAAAAGCTGAGACAGAGATTTACCACCAGACTATTTCCCAAGCTGGCACCACGAATTCGGACTTTAAGCCTCCTAAGCTAAGAATATAAATCTGTTAAGGCCTCCTCTGTGATATTTCTGTTATAGAAGTGCTGAGAAACTAAGACATTTCCTGGTAAGATCAAGAACAATGATCTGTCTGCTCTCATCATGTCTGTTCAGTCTTACACAAGAGGTTCTAGCTAGACAAATTGTT